GAGCGCACAGAATACATTAAAGAGGGAATACGTCAGGAATAAAGTGCACGATTTACAAGAAATGTGGATTGCCGTGGACAGCAAGAATGTGTTAAATAGAGGCAGAAATTTGAACATCGTGTTATCAAGTAAAACATAAGCGAGTTGTTGCAAGGGTTCTTACACGTGCCTCCATTTTGACCAGACATGGCTACGTATTCATACACGCCGAACCGTCGAACGGACGTCCCCCTTTAGCATGAGTATTACTGCCGAACGGGAAAATCCAGGGATGAATGCGAGAATGACAACAAATCTTTGAGTTGCATGTACTCTTTCGATTGTGATAAAAGAACTACGGTTATTTCAAATAAAGGGCGTAAGCACTGCAAAGGCAGTTGTCGCCAATCAATGATTTTTACTTCACGTTTTCGTTTCCCTTTTTTAAACAGATAAGGAGATGTGGTGAGACTTACAAAATGTAGAAAAAAAGTAGTGCTTGTTCGCCAGAGACGCAGTAATGTTTGTTCTAACTTACCATTTGTATCCTAATTTTCACAATTCTTTTGTGTATTGTTATTTACTGATTTTTTTCTTAATACATGAAACTGAAACACAGGATATTTATCATAGCGGAGGATGAATTTACTTCGATCAGTTTGTCATGAATCTAGGTCACAAATATAGCATTCTCACGATACCATAAAGGCAATGGCCTTAAAAAACGAGGCGAAGATAAGCTGTGCCGTGTGTTTATAAAAATAAGAAGATGTGGTAAGATTGACAATGAAATAATTCTCCACCAGAGACCAAATGACATAGAAGTTAACACATTGGCTGTTCTATTTTACCTCCTGAAATAAAAAGTTTACAATGCCCAACAAATCTGAGACTTGCAAGAATTATCATCTTAACAAAAATGTGTTGAATCCCTATAATTTTCAACCCAGACATTTGCAAATTTAAGATCAATAAATTGTTTCATCGGCTAATATTTGAATATTTACCGTCAAATTAATAACGCATAACAAGAGAAAATAAATGACAATGAATGATATTCTATAAATATATATATATATATCTAAAAGTCTAATTTGTTTGTATAGTACTTCCATAACTCATGGTAGACCAACTTAGCGTTATTGTGAACTTCAAAAGCTTGTCTCAAATATATAACTTTCGTTTGGCATTAGCCAAATTATTTGAAATAAGTAAACATATAACTGATTTTATATCATCATCTTTAATCAAATTTTGGAAAATATCAAACTTCTCTCAAATGTTTTTATATAGGGGACAATATAAAAGGAAATGCACTTAATCTTCTACTTAATCTCCGCAACATTTGCAGAATCTTTTCGTTGCTAACGTTTTTCAGTCACAACAACTATGGATATTTATGCGAAGATTGCATAATATGTGATTCTGTTTTCATCTGCTTTATTTTTGTCTTTTAAGGGGTTGAAATGAAATCAAGCATCAATTTTCTTTTTGCTTGTTTACTTGTCTGAATCAACATGATGATCATGTGTTGTCACTCTGAGACAAAATGGCACTTGAGTAGTATGTAGAATTATCCTTTTTCAAAGCGAACAATTGACAGTAATGTTGTCAAGAATCTATAAATATATTATAACGCAGACCTCAACGAGAACACATAAGTAAAGCACAAGCGAAGACAAAAGTTAATTCAATCAATAACAAATTGTTTTAATACGCAACGATAGCACAATTCTATTTATTTTAGTTTAATTTGGAAACACAATTTGAACCGATGATTTCCTTAATTTGAAACGAGTAAATTTTTCAGGGTGCCGGTGCGTATTTAAAACCATGACTTAGGCATGTAAAAAAAATGAGTAAACTGTCAACCAAAATTGATCAAAGACAGACAGTGTCGAGGTAACAAATTAGAAAGACCAACATAAGCATGCACATCCTTGCACTTAAAAAAAAAATTGAGCAACATAAACCCGACGATATTAGTTCGAATTCAGGTAAATTGGAAGAGAAAACAGTTGCATCAAAACTACTGATATCAGAACTAATATCAGGTGAAAGTTCATGTAAATATCTGATTTTAAAGGCTCTAAGAAAGCTTATCAAATAGATAAAAGGTGTTGATACAAACTCATTTTCTGTACTTCTATGCCATTGTGACTTATAACACAAAGATACATACATATACACACATAAAAGAAAGAAAAGCTATCAAAGTAGCCAAACGTTGATACAATATATGAAACTCTAACTGTAGAGAACAAGGGAAAAGAAAACAACATAATTCGTCGAATACACTGTATAGTATTTTCAAATGAATATGGTACATGTAATTCTATCGTATAACAATTATGAAAAACAAATTCAGACAATGATATCAAACTGGCGATTTATTTGTTATGAAGCATACCTATACATTACCATTTGAGTGATTGTGAAAAGTATAAAACTAACATGGATATTAATTACTTGCAAATAGTCTGATTGTGTTTCCTCATTCAAAAATGAACAAGAACTGTATAATGAAACATAGTGTAACACGATATTGACGCTTTTGTCATTCATAGATTCACTATCAGCGCTTTCAAAACAAAGGTAAAATTTGATATTTCCAATCTCCTTTTATGAACGACTTTAATATTAGGACATATATGACTGTTTTTGTAAGGTATATTTGATCATCGTTGTATTTATATCACATATATGCCTCTGATTGTTGATTTGAAAAAAAAAACAAAAAAAAAAACATAATATTGTAGTTTGTCTACATATTAAATAGTACGCTGACATCGAACAAAACAAAATCCTTGTAGGTTAAACAGAAAAATTACTTAGATAGGTTGTCCTTCATGTTTACAACTTAAATTTACACATATTGTTTTGATAGTTTCTCTTTTTTAAATTTATTTCTGTTGTGAAATTTTCCATTTCTTTTTATGTACATTTTTATAGCGCTTATATTTAGTTGTAACAGCTTTAAAATTATTTATTCTTACACTTAAGGCTACAAAGAAAAGAAAATGAATACAAATATGAACAATGAATGCAAAATATAAAACAAACTTTCATTCTCTCATCCTAAAACGATATGCAGTCCGTGAAAGGAAAGACTATATATATACCAACAAGGAATACATTAGAGGATCAAAGGAACCTGAATCGCTCATCTAATAAACATATATCATATTTATATCACGTAAAATCAAAATCATTAGTACATTTCACTTAACTGTAGTGTATTGCTAGTAGTTATAAATGGTTGTATTTGCTGTTTTCAGTGTTATTTTTGTAGTAAACGCCGTCAAAAAGGTTAACGTAAGGACAGTAACTTGTTATGATATTGTAATTATCATATTTATTTATCTTGGCATATTCTGTTTTGTGTGGCCTTATAATTTTTATATAATTGGGTTATAGTTGTTTACAAAATAATGTTATAATTATGCAGTTTAGAAATCACTAGAACAATCATAGATACTGATGGAATGGTTAGAACTTTCTATTTGACTTACATAATAATTCTGGAATGATCATAATCAACGATGCGTAATTTAAACTTCTATAATATTCTAGAATTTTCCCTTCTATAGTTTTCTAGGAGTGTCCTTTCTACAGTGTTCTAGAAGTTTCCGTGACAACTATATATATATAAACACCGACATTAGACTTATCATACATTAATATACTTGTATTCTCAGAAGTTCTCTGGAGTTGTTGGATAAACACTTTTATTTACGTTAACTACATCATACTAGATTGTGGACTTATTGGACATATTCCGTTACAGTTAAGAGAAGAATTCAAGATCAAGAAAAGACAAATGATCGGACATATATTTTAACGGTTAAGTTGACATTTCAATTTGTATAATACTTCTTGTAAATTGTATAATAAATCTTATTAAATTCTATTATTGATTTGTGTCTTTTGTTGGCTACAATTTAAAGGTGATTTCTGGCCGTAACAAACTGCTTAAAGGCAGCAGTTGTTGATGTCCCTCACCAGATATAATTCATTTGAAGATTATGACGATGTTGTTTTGCTGGAAAGTATTACTGGCTATCGAACATATTCTTTACGATAAAAGGTAATGATGCACCAACGTGTCAAACATCGTCTTTTGAGTGGAACAACTCCCGTAAGGATTCAATAAATGCATTTTGGTTGTTTTAAATTGATTATCATTTTTTAAATTTACAGTTGAAGTATACTATAAAACCAGGTTGAATCCATCATTTTCTACATGAGGAAATGCCTGTACCAAGTCAGGAATATGACAGTTATTTTCCATTCGTTTGATGTGTTTGAGCTTTTGCTTTTGCCATTTTTAAGGGACATTCCATTTTGAATTTTCCTTGAAACTCGGTATTTTTGTTATTTTACTTTATACTATCATGGTTTGAAGGTTATATAAAGAACTGAATTTTGTAAACAAAATTCATTGTAGGTAAATAATATTAAGAAAAACTAAAAGGGGTAAATAGAACCAAAGCAACAATTCATACAAAAAAAATATGTGTAATAATTTCTCTAGGGAGTACAATTTTGATTCTGTCAAATTTAGACTTTTATACTGCTTCTCTGCGTACTTAAGCTGTCATGTAACTTGACACAAATGTGAAAAATTGTTGCAAAAATGCATGTAAAGGCAACAAACCTTATTAGGGGTCGTCTGATAAATCTCATAGCAATAGTAAATAGGTTGATCATATACTTAGTGGTAAAAAAGTACTTTTTAAGTTTAATACAACCAATTGCAATCGTTGTGCATCAGACGTTCATGATGCTATCGATATCAGTGACGGTTGCCGCGAAGGCTTTAATATAAAACCCCTAATCTATACTACATCATGTCACATACAATCATTTACTTGGTGTGTATATGATACAGCTTTTTTCAATATAGCAGGTCATAAGGTGAGATATATTTGCTTACATATAGGCTATCTGGACTCTGGTTGATAGTTGTGTCATTGGCAAACAAACCACATCTTCGTAATAGAAAAGAAAATACATGCTAATTCAAGATGAATTAATTTTATAAAATGATTTCACATTCAATTTTTTCATCTTGGTACACTTTCCTGTAAATCATCGTGGTAGTTTCTCACATGTTCCCATTCTTTTGGTAGATTTCCAGAAAGTGCGACCGTTTTTATAAGTTCCACATTTCGAAAAAAATATCTGATAGTTGCTTTTGAATGTGTTAATTAATTTTGTTATTTCATCCATAATAAGTCTTTTTTTAGTGTTGTTCTGTATTTCGAAGCCAGACTGATCTTCGATGTCACGTGCAATGCTGAAGGTGTGTTCACTGTCATTTTTGCGTCGGCCATATTATTGATAGTGATGAGCAAATGAACAAGAGCATGTACAACCAATCCATCTATGAAGACATTTGATGCAACAACAGTGGGCATTCTTAAACGTGCATCTGCAAATACGCAAAGAAGAAAAGATCCAGCAAAAACATGTCCTAACCTTTTCAAAGAAAAGAACTAAATACCATAATATCACAGCAGATGTAGAGCAATCAAAAACGCATATCTGTTGGCACATGTGGCATTTAATGCAGACGTTTCAGTATTCGATTATAACCCATCTCTGTGAGGTATTTTTGGTTTGGTAGTGCATCGCATATCATAGTTGCTTATTATCTCTTGCCTTTTCACGATTTCATGTTTTATTCTGTTTGCTTCAATTAAACTCTGATGTCGTCTGATTATTGCGTTAAGTACGTCTCTTGTTTTCTCTACTGATAAATAGAAAATGAAAGAAGGCTCCCAAAAAAGATTATTCATGGAATTCTGTCGTCTATTCCATATTTCTGCGTGCTCATTTCCACTGAACAATCGCGAGTTATTAAAACTAAAGTGCATGTGTTCCAAGTATGGCACGTTCGCCTTTTTCAGTGAGTTGAGTGCCTTAATGTCACCACCGTCATCAAAAGTTATAAACGGATCAATATATCTAATGTCTTTCCCAAATACGGATTAAATATTATTGAAAATGCATCTTTGGTCTTCGGTTAGTCTACAAAAAGAGTGAACTACAAGACAAACTGCATCAATGTTTTGAACTGAACTGAAGAGATCAATTAATTTCCAACAATTACTTTCATTATTTTCGGGAGGTAACTCTTTTCAATCAAATCCAGGGACATCGATAATATGGAGGTTGAACTTTACCTTGAATCCATCCTACCATCAAATTAAGTAGCAAATGATGTCTTTTGTTCGAAACATGAACTGCAATATATACAAAAGATATATCGAGTCATTTTTCATTCAAGTCACAAAGACAGCATGTCTTTGTAGTCTTATATAAGCTACTTCTATTTGTGGTTAGTTTCTTTCCGTTGAAATGATATTTTACGCTGTAATCATTCAAGGCAAATAATCTTATCAAACAGAAATTGTCCGAACTAGACTTTGGTCCATTAAGAACTTGGCATAGTGTGAAAACCTTATATCTTTGAAGAATTATATTCCTAGGGTGCTTTCTCATAGACGTACAACAAAAGCTTTCCTTTATTCGTCTCCATTTTTAAACCGGTATACATGGTAAAGGAACTTCAATTTATATCTTTTTATAATATTAATCTTAACAACAAATCTATTTTTATATTTCCGTTAACTGGTTCATGTCATGCATTCAAAATTATGTAATATTATCATCTCTTTCTAAATATAACGGTCAATCAATCAATCTAAATGAAACCGCAAAGTGAAATAGTTTAGGTATGTCAAGCAGTCGAACTTACCAAAGTCGAATGTTCTTCCTCCGTTTTAAATCTGAAGTCGTTATATAATTTACAATTGCATTCACCAAAGCCCTTTTTTTCTGATCCTCTTGTACCGACTAACAGGAGAGTTCGTTCTTGTACATTCATTACTTCTGAAACTAAACCATTTTTTACAAGCTTAGTTAACTTATTCTACAGCTTTTATACTTTAATTTAAAACCTGAAGTATCAGAACAGAAAAACAGACATAAACTTAAAGGTAATATTCAGTCTAAGAATTGATTACTTAGAGTGGCTAAATTTTGTTTTTTGTAATTACGTTTTTCATCTGGCATACACAATTATTAGCCTGGTATCTTTGATGAATGTTTTACGTATCACGTTTTGTGTACTGTTCAGTATTTGTTAGATTTATATCTGTTTTAAAGTAAATATTTTCAAAGGTGATTCAGTTTAAAGGGTGTAATCGGACATGATGCTTTGCTAAAAGGTAGGTTTAACGATGTATTAGGATTTTTATTTACATATATGTAGAATAGATAGAAGACTTAAGTTACCACGTAGGTATTATGGTTCGAGAGAGAGAGTTTCTTTTTTAGAATTCAATTAAGTTTAAAATTATGTTTTTCAAATTTAATGGTGTTTACACACAAAGGAATCAAATATACCATTCAATATCGATACAATCATTGAACGACTAGCCTTATTTTCATACGGTCTTTACTGATTGTCAGAAAAGTTTAAAGTACTTCTTTACTTCTTTATGATTTACATGTATAACTTACAAAACTCATGCACATATATTCCCTTGAACAATTTTATTTTTCTTGTTGGATGCAAGCGATATATGGTAGGCTCGTCACATATTTTATCAGCGTTCTCGACAAACATTGTTGCAATTGACGTAATTGTTCTCACTTCTGTTTTAAAGGATAAAGTTCTTCACCACTCTTACTCTCCACATAAGTTCTTATTTCATATAGAGCACCACTTTTTAAATTTGATATCTGAATTTTGCTCACCGAAGTTTGTTGCACTACAAAACCACCTACTTATTCTTGTCTCTATATTTGATAACATAATTACCAAATGACCCTGTTGTCCCTGCCATTCAATATAAATGGTTTTAGACGAAACTTCTGTTTCAAATGGAATTTGTTAAAGAGCCATTGTTCGACATGAGTTGGTCCGTTGAATATTCTAAAATAAAATTATAATAATAATAATAATATAGTTATAATAATAACTTTATTTTAAGAAGATGACTCAATTAGCATTCACTAATCTACATGTTCATTGAGACTCTCATAAAAAGAACAGAACATGCATTACACAGATTACAATTTTGAACACATCAACCAACATTCGCACTGAATGATTATCTTTATAAAACGAAAACAAAATTATATCATATACACACATTATGCAATACAGACAATTATACAATACAGCAAAATAAAATAAACATAATATTACAAGTGTCGCTGAAAGTTTTTTAAATGTCATGTTAATGTTTTCTATTGTACAATTCTCAAATGCATTTAAAATTCTATTTCAAGGAAGTTCATTTCATGGGCAATGGATCGATTGTTTATATGTATGTCTTTGAGAGAAAGGATGAACACATATGAACGGATTTGATACTATGATTAATGTTATAATTTACTACTTCATAATTAAAACTTTTGAATGTTAAAAAAAGAAGCTTTCATTTTCTTGCTATTCAAACGCTTTGTATCGATGATTATATGATACTCTTATTTGTATATATAATGAATATACATTACAACAGCAGTTATATATTTAAGAACTAGTCCTGCGTTTCACAAAAACAATATTACGACTAAAATTGCTCGTAATTATCCTCAATTTTTCTTTTTATGGGTAAAAGATAGAACCATGCAGGTTCCCGTTGATTTATGATTTAGGACCCCTCTTTAAATGTCTTTATACTTTTTTTTTAGAGAAAGCAAAGTATAAAAAATAAGTTTTCATTTTGACCCTTTGTTGTCATGGTATTTATCCAACAACTTTAAGGAATAATTTCTGCTACTGTGACAAGAAAAAATTAAACATAAGGATACTTTTGAAACAGATCTGGCAAAACTTTTTTTTTTTAAATTGATTTAAAACCCTACTGTATCAAGATTTTTAATTTCAATTATGATTATATTAAGGAAGGCTCATTGATTGATTGATTGATTGGTGTTTAAGTCAACTTTCAACACTATTGTGCTATTTCGTGGCGGTCAGTTTTTATTGGTGGAGGAAGCCGGAGTGTCCGGAAAGAACCACCGACCTTCGGTAGGAAAACTGAAAATCCTATTCAATTAAGATTGGAGTCGAGTGCACCTGTCCCGTGCGGGATTTGAACTCACAACCTCAGTGTTGACTGGCTAGTGATACAGTAGTTTGACTACTTAGACCACTCGGCCACCGAGGCCCCTAGAAAGGCTCATACAATTTTGAAAAAAATTACTAGAAAAAAATATAATACAAAAAGCAAAATATAAAAAGTAAAGCGTTATTGAATTTTTTATGCTATCTTCCTACAACCGTAACAAACCATCTGATATGATGTAAGTGTCAGAATTCGACGAACAATTCTTTTTGATATCGTATGGGCAATGTATAAATGAATGGAGAAACTAGAAAGTAAATTGCAAAATTTTTACTTATTCGTAAAAAATTCTTTCATAACAAAATACACAATATATATACATCTGTACAACACGATAATAATGAATGAAAATACATAAAAACACTAATAACATATTACATAACATATTACATAATACAATAGCTTGGCCTAGAAAAGGGGTCAACTAAGCCACCAGGAAAGATGCAATAAAATAAGTCTTTCCTACCCCACAAAGGCCAAGCACTTGGCAGAAAATAAAGCGTCGAGCTTAATTCCTGATCATAGTTAGTTCCAATTGAACCATACAAGTATAAATACAATACCGGCCCAAGCAAGTACTGTTATGTTCACAGACAAAGTCCTTGTAAGCAAATAATGACAATAAAATAAATATTAGAGCGACAAACATACATCTATATATAAATGTTAATGTATGCATTATAGTTAAGTATGCATAAATATAGCATGCAATTGGCATTGAAAACTTAACGGCCCAAGCAGTTAAGTATTGTTAAAATAACATAGCTTCATGCGTTGAAACCTTTTATCTTTTATAATTGCTATTGCATAAAATGATATGTTTATTATATGATGACACACTAACTAGAGATTTACCAAAAATAAAATTCGTATTGAGTGTCAATTACCAGCCCAAGCAAGTAACGCAGAGATGCTGAAAAATTTGTATATATTCCTATAAAAATAATTGTACCGGCCCAAGCAGGTACCAAAAATGCCTATCAATTTAAATGGGATCTTAAGTATTTTTGGAATGCGTTAGACTTCCAACGTCCATAGAGCGTATTTGTGAATCGGATAAGCCTCTCTCGGCAGCATCAATTGCTGCTTCTATGCGGAAACTGTGTCCTTTGTATCTCGAACTATCCAGACCACAAGATGCTAGGCATTTATGTAAAATTCTGTCAAAGTCTGGACGATGTAATCGAGTGGCATCAACAGAACAAAACAATGGTTCTGTGGGTACGGAATGGGGTCTCACTTTAAGGTACTCAACCATAGCTACGACTGTGCTGAAAACGAAATAGTCTTTGGCATTCCTCTAACGTTATGCTTAAATTTTCGGAAGCAAACTTGAACTTCTGCAGCTTTGCCCTGTACATAAGACAATGAAACATCGTGCAATTACAGAACATTATCATTTGGAGCATTTTTTGTTGTCACCAACTCTCCAACTCTAGAGAAAGTTGAAAAAGCAAATAAGAAAATTGCCTTGAACAAAACTTGATCATATGTACACTTGATAACTAATGTTATACTATGTACCAACTTGTTTAGAAGAGGAAATGTAATTGGGGGACGGCTATCAAATGTTTTTGATAATCTATATGTGCCTGTAACTAATTTTTCAGGCATTGACATCATTTTGTGCACATAGGCTATGGCGGATAGATATGTTAAAATTGTACTAGGAGCATATGATTTTTTAAACATGTAGGCAATGAATAATGGAGTTGTAGCTACAGATATTAGTGGCTGCAGACTTTGGTTCATTATTTCTGTACAGAAAGAGTCAAAAGTTTTCCATGCGCGGCTGTAAGTAGCTTGAGTTGATGGAGCTAGAGCTGCATTTGCAAAGATTGTAACGTACTCCAAAAGTTCTGTGGCTGGAATTGATGTGGAACTAAGCACGGTTTTGATTGAGCAGCTGGGGCTATTTTCAAAAACTGTTCTACCTGTAAACGAGAAAGGCAATCTGTAAAAATATTCTTCTTTCCGGGTATATGCTTTGCTTTAAATAATATGTTAAATTGCAAACATCTTAAAACCATGTATCTAACCATTTTCATTGCTTGACCATCAGATGTTGACTGTTTATTAATCACAGAAACCAGTGCTTCATTGTCAGTGAATAATAGTATAGAGTGATTTCTCCACAATGTCCCCCATGACTCAATTGCTAAGATGATAGGGTAAAACTCCAAGGTCATTATATTGATGTGTTTCCAGCTTTCTGGGAATGGACCATAAAACCATTTTGACCTGTATATGCCTGCATAGCCTTTAGATTGTGCAGCGTCGGTGTGAATTTCCAATGTATAACTTGACATGAAACTTTCATTTAAAAACATTGATTTCCCATTAAAAGAATCTAAAAACTGAAGCCATATTTTCATGTCATATTTTGTCTCCAGATTTAGATAAACGTGAGTTTGAGAATCAGATACAGTCATTGTTAAATTAATCATCCTTCTCAAAAATGCACGTCCTGGTTGAATAACAGAACAAGCAAAATTCAAGACTCCAATAAGTGATTGCAGTTTTTTTAATGTACAACATTTCATATGTAAGAACTTTTCCAGAAGATATCGACATTTTGTTATCTTATCCAGTGGCAAACGAGCTTCTTGTTTAATTACGTCCAATGTTATGACCACAAAATCCATAGTTTGAGAGGGGAGTTCAGTCTTTTCTGCTGATAAGGGTACCCCCAAGTCTTCACATAAATTGATGAAAGCCTTGAGTTTGGAAATTGCATCCTCTTTCGATTTCTCAATGATCAGAAAATCATCCAAAATATGCACCATTGAAGTGATAACTAATTTCGTCAATGCTATCCATTCTAAAGCAGTACTGAACTCTTCAAATATTTTACAACTGGTCCGACATCCCATTGGGAGGCAACAATCATAGTAGAACTTATTATTCCATTTAAAACCTAATAATTCATAATCTGTCGGATTAACTGGAAGGATTCTGAAGGCCGATCTAACGTCGGTTTTGGAATGGAAAACTTGATAATTGCGGCTACGCAGTTGTTTAATTTCATTAATGGCTTCATTAATGCCTGCATAATGTACTGCAGCAGATTCGTCGGAAATACCAACATTAACTGAATTAGATTTTTTTGTCTGGGAACGACAAATGATGAATTAATCGCCAAGCTGATTTAGACTTTTTAGGTACAAGACCGAATGGTGAAACCCTCAAATTTAAAAAAGGTATTTCTAAAAAGGGGCCCATAACTCTTTGACAATTAACCTCTTTGTTAATTTTTTTCTTTTACTATTAAAAGATTGCTTTTATCTAATTTAAGGTTAGAGCAATTAAACTGTGATCTAGGCCCATTATGTTTCAATAGAAAACCATATTTTAAAGATAAAGTGATTTTTCTGAGTCATAACATTACAAATGAAATTTCAATCTATCTGTCTTAATAGGAGTAGGTAATTTACATTTGTTCAGTTTTGGCGGCGGCAGCTGCAGGTCGTTGTATATGAGCTGTGTTTTCAAAATTTTTCTGGATGGCCCATTGTCATTTGATCTGTTTGTTGTTTTATTCCTGTAGAATTGAATTAGATACTGCAGATATGGGAGTATCCACAAGTTCCTTCACAAATTCGTCCCTCATTATATCTGTGGCATGTTTTACGAGGGGCGCTGTTTGGAAAGGGCTTTGCATTGTTGTATGTGCGAGTCCTTTTCATCGGGTTTGGATTATTAACTTTGGGAATAAATCTATTAAGGGACCTCGTATGTAAAATTTGATCAACATAACTCCAAGAAAGTGTGTCAACATTTTGCATTGATTGTCTAAAATTAACATCGTAAAAATACCAATCGCCACCATCCTTTTGAATTTGTCGATTCAAATCCATATATATGGCTAAATCCTCTGCTAAAGTAGGGTGAGTGGGGTTAAACTTCCTGAGTACGGAAGAGAAAATGCTAAATGCATCTGTCCAACTTTCAATGCTAACAAATTTCTTTTTTTTTCCAGATGTCAGGCCCACCCTCTTATTCTGAACAGCTAAATGAAAATCTAGTTCAGCAGGATGGTTGTCAACTATTAAGTCTGACATATCAATAAACTCCTTATTTTTTTATTTTTATGGGAGTTTAGAATTTATTTTATTATACAAAGGTCTACCTATTGGTTTATAGGTTGCTGTACCATGGTGAACCTTATTAAAACCTGCAACCAAGCTTTGTGCAGGAATTTGAACCATGTTTTGAGTATTGTGAGTGCCAAAACTAGACACGTTTTCTCTAGAATAGCTAGAAGTTTGTGTGTGGTGTGACAAACTGTGTGTGGGTTCACCTGTACTTAAACTGCTAGGTAATGATGAATCACCTTCATGTACGAGGACATCCATCTCAACAGGTTGGGGTCTCGTCTGACGAGGTTGCGGCAATATGCCATTCTCCTTCAAATTCTCCAGCACTTTGGCAGTCACAGTTGCCGAGATGGCCTCTGTCATTGCATTCTGTGGAGCTTGGGTTTGGTCTTTTTTCTGCCTTTTAGATTGTCTCTCACTAGGCTTCCTTTAAGGAGGCATCCTGTTAATATACAAGATACTATCAATATAAATGAGCTCAATAATTTTATAATGTTAATGAAAAATAAAGTGGTTGTCTATATAAAGATTTATTGAAACACATAGTCTATGATAAATCACATGGTTTAACATTACCATGCAAATACCATACTGACCAAACACTTGGTTTGTAATTAATTTTCACTGACCAAAACTTGTACCATAAATTACATCTTTTGACCAAATCCATGTTTTAACAAACTCATTTGGCCAAAATAGGCATATACAAAATCTATCATCAATTTCCACATGTTCCATTGACCAAATTTACATGGTATATTGCTATTGACCAAATCCATGGCCTATAATTAAAATCGTTTGACCATATCCATGATCTATATAATCAAGTTGTACTGACCAAATACATGGTCTATAAATTACTGCTATTGACCAAAACCATGGTCTCGACCAAATATATGGTCTATAATTATTTACATGATCTATAATCAACTTCTTTTGACCAAATACATGATCTAAAAATAACAGTTATTGACCAAAACCATGGTCACGACCAAATACATGGTCTATAATAATATACATGATCTATAATAAATTTCTATTGACCAAATACACGGTCTAAAAATAACAGTTATTGGCCAAAACCATGGCCACGACCAAATACATGGTCTATAATAATATATATGATCTATAATCAATTTCTAGTGACCAAATACATGGTCTATGAAAAACAGTTATTGACCAAAACCATGGTCACGACCAAATACATGGTCTATAAATAATATTTTTTGATTGAGTCTATTGTCTATAATCAATATCCATACAATAATTATCAAGTATATGGTCCAGGTACAAATTAATATATGATTTTATACATGTATGTCGTATTCTGATGACTAAAATACATACTTAATTGGTGGTCTTAATATAAGTATGTATAAATCAAAGATAGACTTATTATACAAGTATTTAAAACGAGTTCATCCAATAAGCATGATTAGTGTTGTTTAATAAATGTTCGAGTTCATTCAAGCTTATTATTAAAATGTAATGTTTACCTGATGTGACAAAATTAAAGGTGAGACAGCTTCTTCACAATATTGACAAACAATATACAAACGTGTACTGTAGTACAAATGTATAAAAAACTATCAAAAGCTGAAAATATTGAAACTAGAAAAATATTAACATATTAATATCATGAAAAAATACATGTAATAATTATCCATTCTTTAAAAACAGATTTTCTAAATAAACATTTACCTAAAAAAAAAATGCATCTGTTATTAGATTCAACAAGTTATATACATGCACTATTTTACGTGGATGTTAAATATTTTAGAAAGTACATTTGAAGTACAATGTATACAGTTTGTATGACAACATTCACAACTTATCATTTTTGTCATTATTCTCTGTTCATGCAAATAATTAGTAAACTAACCTCAACAAGCATATTAGATAAAAAGAAACAACTACTCTACACTATGACTCTATAGCATGCAAAAAGGCCAGACGTAAACTTCTATAATATTTTTGCATTCCCAATGCAGACAAATGTACTCCGACGGAAGCAAAGATTTGCAATGGGCTATTCATCAGCCTTAAATGTTTCCAAAACAGCTTCTTGTCATCTACCAGGATGGGTAACATCTGATTAACTATCCGTCTCTTGTTCTCATACTGCTCTGCTGTAATTTACCAAGGTTGAGTCCTCGTAAAAAGTTCACATACAACAATCTTATTTACAAAGCTGTAATGTAGTTGAAAATCAGACATCAAATCCACAATTTTACATGCTAATGTCTCTGGTTTCAAACCTTGATCACATAAATCATTTCCTCCTATCTGTAAAATAATTACTGAGGGCTGAAAATTCTGAATGTGAGCATTTAAATCTTCATTGTTTTGCAGTCTGTCAACTGTACCTTCTCTAATACCATAACAACTCACGCTGCATTGAGCTAAAGTAAAGTCTGGTGATAACTTCGGGTCGTATGTTAATGCTTGCGTTAGACGACAAATAAAGCTGTGTCCTAATATCAAAACTTTCGGAACTGGCGTAATTTGAATATCCATTTTCACTCTTTTGACAATGTCAATATTTACAGTATAACTGTAACTCTTTAACGAATCTTCCTCCAATGAAGGTGCACCTCAAAACAACTTCCAACAAAGTTTGTAATAGTTCCGTAAATTGATAGATATTGGAAGTGAACCATACGCTGTATAAGAAAGTGTTCAAATAAATAGAAATTCAGTTTATGCAATTAACGGATAGAAAAATCTTCAATTGCATTTGATATGCATAAGATTGCAATGTAATGTTCGTACACAATAAACTTACAAGATGGCGATGAAGCTCAGCTTCCCTGATCAATATTTCTTTTACATCAACAACAATAATAATTTCAAACGACTGCAACTATAAACCTTACCTGTTAGTTCTCCAAAAATAAAGAATTATATAAATTGTCTAAATGTCCAAATAACTGTTAAAAAATTGATAAAATCCCAAATAAAATCTTGTTTAGATAAATATCGATCGTGTTGATTATCAAGAATGTGTTAAACTGTGACGTGTAGTGTAAATACTGCAACACAAGATCTAGTGCAGGGCTGCCCAAAGGGAAAGGCAAAAATTAAATTAGAATAAAACTAAAGATTTCCGTCATCTGCATAAAATTAGTTATTAAAATAACTTGCCTATATATTTTAATAATACAGAAACAAATATATTGAATATCTTATGTACTATACTAAAGATTTGCACACTTACTTGAATCCTCTCCTTTACTAGAGCCTCTAACAATGTGAAGTCGTCTGACAACTATTTTACCTGCACAATAACATACGTTTAAGAGGCGTGACGTATACTCTTACATTTTTACCAACAAACAACGTAACGCCTGAACAATGTAATGTATCAGGCTCACTTTTAGTGAAACAATTATTAAACTAACATCATTATAATCAACAACAACAGCAGCAACAGCAAATATAAATATAATAATGATAATAATAATAAGAAGAATTATAATAATAATTAAAAAACAAAGTGTTCAGAGAATAATTGAAGGTCTTTCTACCGAAAATGCACATATTTTGATAAAAAATATTCACTTTTGGTTTACAATTTTAATTCTGGAGTCAGAAAATAGATGAATTTACCCTGATTCAAAAAATATATGGTTTCTATATACTTTTGCTAAAAATAAGGGAGATAAGTAGGTACTTCCGGTAAACAAAATTTCACATCCGGTTCCATTTAAACCTTACTTTACACTGATTCAAAAATATAACGTTGTAGTCACTTTAACATGAAAATGATACAAAAATTACAACTTCCAGTTTACAAAAGGTCACTTCTCGTTAACCTCCTTCAAGGTCATAAGTCTGATACCCAATGTAAAAGACCCTTAGCAAAGGTCAAAATCTTGAACGTCAAATTTAACTTTGACCATGACCTCAATTTCAAGGTAATCAATCAAGGAACTCAAATCTAAAGACCCAAGGTCTATTCTATATATGGTTAATGTTTTATTTCACATTCAACTGATTTTGAATATAAAAGGGGAGAAAACTCCCATTAAATGTCAACGCACCCTTTCAACCGAAATGTATGTTTTACGACATGTCGTAACATACAAATTAGTAAAATATTTGTCGCTACTAGTTTCTACTACGGTTTCTTATAATAAGTGATAATATGACAAAATTAAAATTTAGAATATGACCCTGACCTTTGACCTTGAACTCGTGTTGTTTTCTAATAGTGGCTCAAGGACCTCAAATCAAAACACCCCAGGTCTCTATCTCTCATTGTTTATCAGTTACAAATAGAAATCAATTATATTGAATACATAAGGGGGAATAAATCTCATATGCAGTCTTCGGAACGCTTCGGTCAAAACCAAACTAAACATCCTGAACATATAGCGAGCAATTTGGTAAAATAAATTTGTCGATTTCTTTTAATGTTGCGATGGAGTAGAGGACACATGAAAAACAGTGTTTGGGTAGATAACTCTTACAAGAAAAATTGTTCGGTTAATCAGGGTTAGTTTCAAAAGCAAATAAACTTTTCGATATCATATACCAAATATCTAAGCGAAATCTTGTGAAACAACAATACTGAACAAGAAAAAAATTAGGTGGAAAAAAAATAATCAGAACAAAATCAAAACGTGTTTCCATGGGAAATTTGAAAGACCTAACAATAGTAATAAACATTCTTTATGTGCCTGTCTCAAGTGAATAGCCTCTAGTTTAGTGGTTGACGTTGGTTCGTGTCTGTCATATTTGTTTTGTTATTAGGTAGGCCGTTAGTTTTCTCTATTGAATTGATTCACATTTTTCATGTCTGGGCCTTTTATAGCCGACTATACGGTATGTTCTTTTTTTATTGTTGAAGGCCGTACGGTGCCAATAACTGCTTACATCCACGTCAGTTAAACTTTTGTGGATAGTTGTCTCATTAAAAATCAGACCACATCTCGCTATCTATATAAAACAAACAAACAAACACAAGCATTTAAATTGCTAATACAATAAGTCAGAGCTTACGTTTTCAATCGTGATTTCATTGCGGGAGGATTTCTGGTAACAAGAAGACGAATGAACCAAGAATTCCAAGCAGTAAAGTTTCATCCCTCTGAAAATTTTACGGACGAAATACAAGCTTGCATTTGGTTGACTGTTATGGAATAGCTGTGTCGAAGAATAACATTTATATATTTTAACTGTCGTACCTAAAATTTCGACCTTTATTGGTACAGCACTGAATGATATTTATCATGAACAACTAGAGGGGCAGGGTCAACTCTGCTTACAATTCCGGAATTTTTGAAGTTGTATTTTAATGTGCAGAAAGCTGGGCACGAGGCATCGGAACTGACGCCCTTACGTGGACCGGACGTGACTGAGTATTTACACATCCCGCAAAACGTATGCCCTTCTTCAGGAAGGGTTTTACTTTTGGACAGGAAAAGGTTGACCATATTTCTTTCACACTTGGGTTAAAAGTCTCTCGTGCTTAGCTTCGAAAAAGCATAAAGTTATCCAACTGGGGAAAAAAATGTTGTTATATACCTATTCAAAAATTCATGTTTTAGCTTCGTATCCATGATGCTGTTGAAGAAATGATTTGCATTTGCATATCGATGTAATTCGTTCATAAAATGATATTTCTTGATCGATAAAAGCTCTTTAGTGTACTGTGGTTTTCATTTTTATAACTATTTTAAA